AAGTGTTTTTATGTAATTAATCAAGACTAGTTTAGTTACAGGAGCAAATGCTTCTGCCCAAGTGTTCTTTTTGAAAAAAATATATATTTTCAAATATATCTTGTATATTTGAACAGTATATTGTTCCTTTTGAGGTCTTCATGAGTGGAAGGTTGTGGCCTAGTTTAGTTACAGGAGCAAATACGTCTGCCCAAGTGTTCTTTTTCCTTAGGTCTTCATGAGTGGAAGGTTGTGGGGATTTTTGTTGCTTTCTGTGCTGGTTGTTTGTTTTTGTGTTTGGTTTCTGTTTGTTTTGTTTGGGTTTTTTTACAAGTGAGTTTGGACAATAGCATGTGTTGTAATAGACTAGCTCTCAATTAGGTGTATAGAATTTCACTTGCCTGTAAAATTAACCCTTATATTTAAAATTATTAGCACTTATTTTTGCATATATGCAAGTTTTAACTTGTTTTCTCATTCCCATACTGACAACTGTAGTATTATTAAAAAAAAAGAAAATTAAACACACCACCAAAAAACCAAGAAAAAACACCCAAACATCAATTTAAATTCTGCCTTGGTCTTAGGCATTTAACTGTTTATTGTTAAAAGGTTAGATTATCCATTCAAAATACTTGTTATGGAAGGCTTAACCAGCAAGTAGGTTACTTAATGCTTGCTTTTTCATTCTCAGTAGTGCAACAAATACAGTACTTGGACTGGATGATAGAAATACAGGGTATGTTTAACTGTTCAGACCCAAATTCAGTGGTGATATAAATACTAGTGTTTTCTTTAAACAAAGTATAGACTTGAAATCCTTTGCCAACAGAAGTAAACAGTCTCTTCAGGCTTGTCCAGAGGTTTTCCCTCCAAAACTTTTCTTTGGAGGGTCAACATATCACTTATTTGGAATGGTGATTCCAATAATAAGACTTTGTGTTGCGAAATTCGTAACTGGAGTTTGGAGTAAAATTTACTATGTGTTGCTTTAATAATTATTACTGTTACTGTTTTACAGGCTGGATGATGCGTCAATACTCCTCCTTTGGAGGTGGGGTTGGGGGGTAGGCGATGCCTAAGTCCAGTGCCTCAGAAGTTCTTTGATCTCTGAGACTCTTGGTTTGCCTGTGACCTCATCAGTTGTAATCTGTAAGATAAACTTTTGCGTCAGAGTTTTAGAGCACTCTGAAATCTAATATGCTTTTTTTCTACATAGGCACCTTCTAAAAAGAAAATTGAAATTAGCACCATTGCAAGTAATTATCACCTTGAAGTTAACCCAAGGTAAGTGTACAGTGAAAATGTCCCACTTCAAATACAAACTGCTGGTCATATTGCAAGTGGTTTCAATCTGGGTATATAAGGTCCTGATTGCCCAATTTATTGTCTGAGCAAATTAGGTAATGGTTTGTATGTTTGGACTGCAAATGGGAGCAGGGAGAGTATTTTTGATTGGACAACTCTAAATGAACAAAAATCTGAATTGCTGTATACTAAGGACAGTAATGTTCTGCTTAACTAGCCACATAAAGATGCTGATGCTGAGGACTGGGTAACAAGCAGTTGTGGGTTAAGAGATTTAAGCACTGAAGTTGAAATTGAAAACTTTTATTGGAACCAACACCCCCATATTGTTAATTCTCTCACAAATACAAAAATAAAGTGACTTGAAAGTAAGTGAAGTTTACCCTTAAAATAACGAGTTTACAGCACAGGAGAGAACAATACCACAACATACTGAGAATCCTGTCGTGAGTGAAGTCAGATGTTGATTTAAATGACAGAAGCTATAGTGGTGAAGTGCATGTGGTCTTTGACAGTTGAGAAATTGCTGGTGATAGTTCACTGACCCAAAGTAAATACTTGTACTTACCTGAAACCCATAAATGTTGCTTTAAATCACGTCAGAATAAATATCGTTGTGCACTAGGAGGCTTTAGCTATGTTGGCTTTGCTGTCTGGGCTGCAATTACAAGACATGAGTATACTGGAGTAACTTTATCAATAAGCACAAAGCTAAAACCTTTTCTCATTGCTCTGCATCATAGAAGCTATTCCCATGTAGCATGTCTGCTTTAAAAGCTTGTTCTGCAGCTGATCTCTGTGTATTGATTAGTGAGTATCTTCTGGTGTTCAAATACAGACCCAAATAATTAAAGCAGAGACTTTTATTGGTAACCAGCTGTTTGAATATGTCATTTTGGTGATATGTCTGACCATTCAGGCTTCTGCTCTGATAACCTAATACTTCTGTTACTCTGCATAGGGTACTTTAAGCTTGAAATATATAAAATAATTGTATTCTACTTTAAATATAAAAATCCTGGAAGTGTAGAACGGCTGTATTGGTTATTGTATGTAACAGTAGTGCTGAGTTTTGATTAAGAATCAATATATTGATGAATAGGCTTTAAGTCATCAAGCAACTGTCATGTTTATGCCTGACCAGTCAGTGAACCTGCGTGTGCTGTGCTGTAGTCTGTGAAGTTTGAATTGTAATACTGTGAAATCAGGTTGTGTGTCTTCAGTAACATGGAATGTGATAAATGGCTAACAGGGAAAGGAGATAAACTTCTGGGAAGGACTCTGCAGGCACTGAATTTATTATGGAACCTTATTAGATAGAGCTGTTCTTTTTTCCTCCAAAACAAGGATATTGTGTGAATTCCAAAGTGTTGCCTGCTGGTCAATTGACAGTTTGGGTAGATGTTTTAAAATGGGTTCGTCTGAGTAAGTGGGTAATGAAAGAGTAAGAAATGATAAAAATTAAACATTTGTGTGGTAACTGCCTTTGCTTGTTGTTTTCCTGGAATATTTGCTGTGGTCATGTCCTATCAAGGGTTATCTTTCACTGTGAAATTACAACTCTGGGCACTGTGTTACTGCAGAGAAAAACTAACCTTTAAGTGTTAGGAAACTATTGTAATTGCATTTTGTTTCCAAAACCTGGCCTAGCTCATAAGTAGAACCGGCTTGCTTCATTTTGCTTTTTGGTTGGGTTGGGTTTTTTTTTGTGCACTGGAATCACAGATCTGCTCCCTTGCTGAAGGACAGATCTCTGCAGTCAAAGTCAACGTAGCCTATTCAGCAGGTTGTGAATTGCTGAGCTAACGTGCTTCTGTACACTGCTGCATTCTCCTTGGCAAGGATGGGTAAGGTCTGGTTGAGTGGTGACTAGAACAGGACAGACAAATGCCTTTTTCACTTGCTTGCCAGGGAAATATTGCAGAGCTGCTGCTGCCTATGTAAAGGCTATAGTATGGGATTGCTAAAAAATGTGGGAGTTTTTCCCTTCTTTTTCTTTGCCTTTTAAGTAATCTTGCTTGCAAATTGGTCCCCAGTGGTTGTCAAGTCTGAGTCAAGCTTGCTGAACTACTAACCTTGGGAGTGAGAGAGCTGTGTGGTGCTACTCTAGGGGAGAGTAAGGAGAAGAGGCAGGAAGGAAATGTAGTGTTTCCTCATGCTTTCCTGGCTTCTGAAAGGAAAAAAACATAACCATCTGTGCTGTAATAGTGTCTCAGTATCAATCTTTTACTAGTAACTCTTTAACAGCACTGTGTCTGCCATTCAAGTTTACATTAAACATATGGGTTGTTCATAGCATGACATCTAATTTTCAGGGGAAAAAAAACCTTGTGCATTTACATCTGTCCTTTCCATCAAGCATCCTATTATGTGGTTAGACTTAGTATTTCTTCCCATAATGGGTAAAAATGTTCACATTATGTGTCTTTGCCCAAATCACAGGTAAGAAATGCTTCATTTTCTCATACCAGAAAACAGAAGTTCTATTTCAGAGCTAATAAAACATTTCTCAACAGTTTCACTACTTCCCAGTACAGTGGTACTAGTCCAACTGTGCCTGTGTAAACTTGGGGTTGTTCTTATTATTGGGAAGGTAACTTTCAACGAAGTATGTGGGTTGAACTTAATTCTAACCTCAACAGCTTCTGAATTCTTTTGGCATTCTTGTTTAGTCAGTTGACCAAGGGGCTGCTTAGGAGGTTGTATTTTATATGTAGCATAATTTTGTTTTAAAACAAGTTTTATTCAAACTCCTGGTACAGTGATGCAGGAAACAGTGACCGTGTAGTAATTCAGGAACTCTTGAAGACAGTAGCACAATCCCAACAACTTGAGACAAGTACTCAACGAGATTTTAAAGGTGAGTAAAACTAGTTAAAATCAAAGTACTTTTAAACTTGTTTTTCAGAGATTTCAGCTGTTTTGTTTGTACCTGTATATTGCATGAGGCCACACGGGAACCTTTCCCAAATCAAACACCCTCCCATTTTTTTTCTTCTACTGCAGAAGTATCTTGAGTGGTTAAATACTCAGTATGAAGTTCTCTGGTTTCTTAGGAGGACAGGGTGTAGTAGGAGGACTGTCGCTGGGCAGAGGGAGATAGGATTTCTGCTGTCTTTTGCCCAAGTGTACAATTGAAATGCACTGTAACTTAATTTAATGATCTACAGTAGTTGAGTTGTGAGCTACCGAGGATTAATATTGACTTGAGGGGCAGGACAGCCTTGGCAAGTGGTGCTGTGTAAGTTAGGTGTTAACCTGTTATTTCAAAGAATCATAGAATGGTTTGAGTTGGAAGGGACCTTAAAGATCATCTGGTTCCAACCCCCCTGCCATGGACAGGGACACCCTCCTCTAGGCCAGGTTGCTCAAAGCCTCATCCAGCCTGGTTTGAGGGATGAGCGAACTTAGGCAGAATGTTCAGAAGCATTTTATCCATAGCATATGGAAGGACACCGGGTAAGAAAATGAAGAAGGCTGATTTGAGTTTTCCAAGATACATGTTACTGTGACTGTCTTACCTTTCCTCCCCATGACTAAATTGAAAGCAAAATCTGAATAGCTATATAACAAGACATTGAAGGACAGAGGAAATCTTGACAGAGAGTAGAGCAGAAATTAGTTGAAAATGGTTATGGGTTTAGTACTTGGTCTTGTTTTCTGCACTGTTCTCAGTAAATACTGTATTTTACCTATGCTGCTAGACACTGATTAGCTCTATCAGATACTGGTGTATCCTTACAGCTGCAGTCATACCATGCACCTCAAAGTGTCTGCTAAGCTGGCTGGTCTCCTTAGGCTGCATATGTAACCCGAAGAGTAATGGGCTGACTTGTTCCTCCAGGCTGTTGTCTGAACTGGAATGTGACAACTGTGGGTTGCCTATGGAGGAACCTGCAGAAGGTAGCTGATCAGGTTAGCTGCTTCACATTAGGTGTCTCCTGGATCTTTTGAAGCATTATTGAAGTATGGTGGTTTTGTTTTTGTTTTTTTTTCTTTAAAAGACCATAGAAGGGCACTGCAGCTACAGTAACCGAGCTTTCTACTACTACTTTGTTAAGCTAAGATATTGGCTTTTAAGTATTAAATGTTTTGAGGGGAGTCTTCAAGAATTCTTTTTCTTTCTGATATGTCCTTATGCCATAAATTATTTTGCATTTCTTACTTTAAAATTCCTTTAAAAAGTTACTGCACTAATTATCAAAATGAAAGCTTCTACAACTCCCTGGATTATTTCTTGGCACTGAAGTGTTCCAGGCCCTGCCCTGAAGAAACTTACATTCCAGGACATGAATATGGGGTGTGAAGGAGCAGGAGGTTACACAGTCAAAAAGGCATGCATGCTGTCTTAATCTTTATTTTCCTGCCTGTGGAACCATGCTGCCTTTTCCTGCTTGCATCACTTATTTTGATATTATTGCATGTATGTCAAAGTATTTTCCTAGTAAGATCTGATAATAATAAACCCCCCACTATTTTAAATCTTTTTTCAGTGGTGCTGCTAACAGAAGTCGACAAACTCACTAAAGACGCTCAGCATGCTTTGCGAAGAACGATGGAGAAGTACATGGCGACCTGCAGGTTGATCCTGTGCTGCAACTCCATGTCAAAAATTATAGGACCTATTCAAAGCAGATGCCTGGCTGTACGGGTGCCTGCTCCCAGCATTGAAGATGTATGTTGGAACAAAAGCAACAATGTTATTTAAAACTTCTTAGTAGATGAACTCTTGCTGTGGACTTCAGAAATATTTTACTTCCACAAAGTGACCTGGTTTTTCTTTGTGGTGGGTGACTTGTTGAGCGTGTCTTGGGAAAATCTGATCCGTCTTTGGTCCAGAAGTATTTTGAACAGGAAAATTTGTAGGTATGAAAGCATTTAAGTGTCACACTCCCTGCTATCTGTTCCCCATCTAGATCTGCCATGTCTTGTCCAGTGTGTGCAAGAAAGAAGGCCTGACTCTTCCTCAGGAACTGGCTCAAAGGCTTGCGGAGAAATCTGGCAGGAATCTTCGGAAGGCACTACTTATGTGTGAGTCCTGCAGAGTACAACAGTAAGTCACTCCTAAAAATTAATATAAATTGTACTGTCAGGCACATAAATGAACTTACTTCTGAGGACTTGTTGGAGTAGGTGACAGCTTGCTTCGATTGTAATTTGTTAAAAAACCATTATTATGTAGGTATCCTTTCAGTGCTGATCAAGACATTCCTGAGATGGACTGGGAAGTTTATTTGAGAGAGACCGCAAATGCTATCGTCGGTCAACAGACACCACAAAGGTAGGTGAATACACTTGCTTGCAGCCGTAAATTGTTGTCAGTGTATTCTTGAATATAAAAAAAAAAAAAATTACATTTAGACATGTGGCATCTTTAGTTGTATGTAATTTTCTGGCATTTCTACTGAAGCTGGTACTTTGCAGCCAGGGGAAGTGAGCTGGAAGTGAGCCAGAGGAAGTGAGCTTTACAGGAGGAGGCTGAATGACTCTCATGAACTGAAATAATTGTTGGTTTTCCCTGTTGAAGCTTTGTAGTCAGAAGTGAGCATAAGCTTAGTTGCATGTTGTGCTGTCTTTCTTTTTTTTTTTTTTTTCCTGGAGGGGTGTTTGTTTTCTTTAAGGCTTCTGTTTTGCCATCTTTAGCATGACAGACCTCTGCAGAAGAACCAGAAATGAGAAAACAAATCACTTTGCAAATACCTGAGATGTCCCCCTTTATCCATCTTTGTCATATACACAGCTTGATCCTTTCAGTCCGTTCCATACATTACATGAGATGTCACTTAAATTCTTGTATTGCCTTTAAATGTTTGTAGCCCCTGACATCCTGATATCAAAAGCTGAGAATTGATAACTATGACACTTTCTACCGCCTAATCATCTTGGCTCCTCTTGTAAACACTGAAGACAGAAAAACAGCGTAAATGAATCTTGTCTTCTCACTTATCTTCAGCATGAATAATAACTCAGATACGGAGGGGAATGGAAGGGACACAAGCCTGAGACATTCTATTAGGCTTATAGCTTCTAGATTAACTGAGCCCATTGTAACTAGAATATATGTAACTTTTCTTACTGTTTTGAATAAAAAGTGATATGTAGCATTTGAGTTGAAACTGACTCCTGCAATGCTTTTAGGTTTAAAATAATACACAAAACCAAGAACAGAAGAGAAACTTGGGTTGTGTTGTGTTGGAGGTTTGGGGTCCCCCCTGGAGCATATTTCACAAATAGTGAAAACACGTTAGTATGCTTTGGGGACATATTTTTGTGGTGTCTTTCCAACAGGCTTTTAGAGGTCCGTGGACGGCTTTATGAACTTCTGACACACTGCATTCCTCCTGAGATTATAATGAAGGTAATCAGCTATCAACTTCTTAATGTCTTATATTAATGCTATGACAGTCTCAATCTGAGTTTTAAAAAAGCCCAAAAAACAAACACACTGAAACATCACAAATTATCCACATACTGATGAAAAGCTGTGTTCTTTCCAAATACACAAGTGACCAGAAGATACTTTCTTCTTGTGTTTCATTCCACTGGAATAACCAGACTAGTCCAGGTTATTGCTCTGAAGCTGGAATTAAAGACCTTGTTCCTGCAAGCACTGATACATAGCATTCACTTATGATCCTCAGTTGATTAATACTAGACACTTTGTTATGTTCATGCCTAAATATGTTTAGGCGTGGTGGTTTTGAGTGGTGTAGATTTTGGGGGCAGGAAGATTCTGTTCTCTAATTTGAAAAATGTAATGGGCTTCCTTGTTAACAATTCTGTTGAATGGTTTAATAAAACTTGTTCTGTGATCACAGAGCAGCATCAAAGCTGAGTAAAACCAAAGGAAGACGTGCTTTGTCCCACTGAAGACTGCAGGGCACTTTCTGTATTGAAGTATAGACATGTTTTATGGGCTAATTCTGATATGGCTTGCTCTCTTTAGTAAAAACTGTTGCTGTAAGTTCAGTGTTTGGTGTGTCCTGGTGGAGAGGTTTGCTGAAGGATGCTAGACCAGCAGTTCTCTTCAAACACTGAAGTCATCTTAGGAGGGGAAAAAAAGCACACAGAGACATGCATGGTGTTATTTTAGGCAGGATGAAAGGATGCTGAAGCCAACTAAAGCAAAACAAAGATTAAAGCTGATGCTTGCAACTTTCCCTAGGTGGATTCTGCCATCAGACATAATTAGAAGATAATACATTTATTTTCACGTTAACTGATTTCTGCTGTCTGACAGTTTTGGTAGTTAGACTTCTCTTTACCCTTCCTTTCTTACGGTAGGTTAGCATTGCCCTGTTTGAGGACTGTTGTCGTCAGGCCAAAGGTGGATGTTCTCTACTCGCTGCCTCTTCATGAACTTGAAATAGTCTAGAGATACTTCTCACTTAGCCCTGATTGTTATGGTACAGATGCATTTGCAGTTTTATTGCTGTGTTGAAACTTAAATATTGAATTTTTGTTTTTTGTGATGACTGAAGTATTGTGAAGTATCTTGTGTGCATCTACACATTCATATGTACACAAATATAAACTGATGCACTTAAATTTTACAGAAGCCCTTTTCCTTGTTATTTATTAATGTTGTTTCTCTTTGTGTTCAGTGCTGTTGAGATGGGAAGTGATTTTAATACACTTGCTGTCTTGGTAAAAATTCTCCCAGGACCGTGTGCCTCCATACAGTAGAGTTTATAGTATTTGGAGATAAGGCTTAATTTATTTTCTTCATTAAGGTATAAGTAGTTCTGATACATGATTATTCCATCTAAGAAAACAGTAGGTAACATCTACTTTGGCATGAAGAATTTGTCTTGAAAGAATTTCTGAAAAGACATGGTTCCGTGAACCAGGTGGTGTAATGATTCTTGAATGCCTTTTCTGTTGGATTCATGAGTGAACTACTGGCCATAGCTTGGCTATTTTCAAAGAAATTAGCTTATCTTAACAAAAAACGCATAATTTTTCAAATACCATCCTGTTTTTCTCCCTCTTTTAGGGCCTCCTGACGGAACTTCTAAATAATTGTGATGGACAGCTGAAAGGAGAAGTGGCACAGCTGGCAGCCTTCTATGAACACCGCCTTCAGCTGGGCAGCAAAGCCATTTATCATCTGGAAGCGTTTGTAGCAAAGTTCATGGCGATTTACAAGAAGTTCATGGAGGATGGACTAGATGACATGATGTTCTAACTGATGCCCCAAGTCACACACGGAACATTGCGAATGCTGTCTACCTGTCCATGCTGGATTGCACGTGGGTCTAGTTCAAAGTCAGATACCTTACTTTGCTCTTAATGTAAACCACAGAGCTAGAGGACAATGTTCAGTTTTTGAAAGCAGATGGATTGTTTGACAGCCACAGACCCATCTTTAGATCCAAACCAAATGCACTGACCTTTCAGAAGGACAGGTTGCTTTGGAAGATGCGTAAGATCATAGTCGCTTTGCAGTTTTTGTAAGCTGACGTTATGAGGAGAGAACATGGGTGCTGCACACTTGCTTTGTGATTGTTCATGGGCAGGGCCGGAAGCAAAAGATGGTGTTGCCATGTTGTGCTAAGTTCCACTTTGAGCACATATGTTCTGCCTACAGATTTCTGTATCTCTCCCTTTGGCTTCTTTTATTTTAGCCACACCGTTTCCTGTGCTGTGCTGACATGGAATGTGTTCTGACTTGTTCGCAAGCAGTTGCATTGAAACTGTGGATGAGCAGTACTTTTGTGTTGCTTGTAAATCAGTTTGACCACGTGGAAGGCTTTGTTTAGAAGGAATGTGCCTGTACAAAGCAAGGCCGCTTGCTGCCTGACGCCTGCGACATTGGTAATGCTCTTCAGGCAGTGATTGTTCCTTTCTGGCTTAACCGAGGGTAAGGTTTCAACTTCCAACAAATATTCTTTGACCTCTTAAAATGCTGTGTGACATTTTCAGAAGGGCAAAATAAATTGTAAAAATAGCAACAGCCGAAATGCTGAGTCACTGAGGTTGTCACAACGTAACACACTGTGTGTTATTTACTTCCTGTCTTTCAGAAAGGTGGGATATACCCCCTGCTTGGTAACGCTGAAGGAAGCCAGAGAAGTTGAGCAAAACAAATACATGCAAACAATGAACTAGATGATCTTTAAGGTCGCTTCCAACCCAAACTGTTCTGTGATTCTGTGGTAGTCAAAGATGGAAAAATGGGATAATGACCAGGATTGCTGACAGAGGAGGTGGCTATCACTGTTCCTGAAAGCCAGCATTTCCCCCTCCTGCTCCTGCCTCTTTGTCTTCTGCAGTCTAGAACGCAAATTTAAACACATAGCCACAGTGGTGTGCAAGTCTCTGCATGCATTTTTTTTTTCC